GCAGAAGTCTGGCTTCCGGACTCCCTTGCTGTGGGGATTTGACCTCTTGTGCTTCAGCCCCACTGCGCAGAGCAGCGTTTTTGTGGAAGGGCTGTGGCTGAGAGCAAGGCAAGCGAGGGAGATTTAGCACGGGGAAGGCATGGGTGGCAAGAGGAGAGAAGCCAGGTAAAGGAGACTGACCTCTGCCAAGTCTCCTCCTCCCCATCATGACAAAGATGGAGCCAGAGAAAGAAAAATCAGTTTGAGTTGTCTCTTTTATAGCGAGACTTGACACAAGTTCTTGGTTTACTTCCTAGGAGCGTTGTACACAGTCCTCAGAGGAATATCCAGGCTGAGAAGCCTCCAATCTGTCTCAGGGAGGACAGAAAGATGGTTGTTTTTCTTTTTTTTAAATAATGATGGACTCTTTCTTAATAAAACACTTCTTCGTCTCGCTTTCATCTTGTGAGTTTGCTGAACCTGAATAAATAAAACCGAGTGCTACAAAGCCCGGGGCTAAAAAGCCTCTGGTGGGAACGTCACAGCAGCTGTTGCGTTGTGTACTTTGCAGAAATGTGCCGTGTTCGCGACGTCGTGTTCCTCTATGATGTGCCTGAGAACAGACAAGGTCTTTGCTGGAGGGAGCTGTGGGATGTGAAAGCAGGTCACTTCCCGTGCGCGCCTCTCCAGGGGCTGAGTGCTGGCGTTCGGTGTGCACGCAGCGCGCTGACAGAAACTGCAAACGCGGCTTTTGGGAGCTTTTGATTAAGAAAGACCCTGTGTGACTCAGCAGGAGCTTGGAGCACATCATTTCCATCTACGTCCTTGCCCGGCTGCTGGCTCGTCTGCTCTCAGCCACCTTTTTCTGGGCTTTTTTTTTCCTGCAATATCTCCTGATCCCAAATCCTGGGGCTTACCCATTTCCTACATAATTACAAGAATACATCCTGATGGTGACAGCAGCAGCCCCCAGACCTCAAAAGCCACCTGCTCCATGTCCTGGCTGTATATGACAGCGTGGGACCGGGGTGCTGGGGAGGTTGGGGTGGTGGAAAGCAGCTCCTGCAGTGGCACATGGGCTGGGGACAGGGTCCCAGATGCATCGTTCTGCCCCAAGACCTTACAGAAAGTAACTCAGCTCCTTGCTTTGGCCCTTCACAGTGCAACTGCAGGCCAGTGGCTCTCTATCAAGATGGGCCTGGGGTCTTGCCTGGCAGACACGGAATTTAATTTTTTCTTTCCACAGCTTTGTGGCCAAAAATTGGAGAAATCCAGACAAGACGAGCTCAGGGGAAGAAGGGGATGAAAACACATGATCCTGCACACACAGACGGGCTTGTATTTAGTCGGATCAGTAGGTGATGAAAGACATTTCAAATAGATGTCAAATTCCTGTCTCCTGCCCTACGTGAGCACTTTCCCTGAGAGCCCAGGGGCTTCCCTGGGTATTCCTGGCTGAAACCTGGCAGCTGCCTCTCAGTGCTATCTGGGGCCGCAGGGCTGAGAGCCAATCTAACCATAACCAGAGCCGAAACTCCAGCCTTGCATCGGTCCTGGGGGCTTCTCCCGGTCATCTTTGAGCCCTGCAGTTGCTATAAAGGGATGGAAGACGTGAGCGTTTCAAAAATAAATAAATAAAAGGTGAACTTTCTGGCTGATTTTTCATGGCTTTGAGAGATTTGGTGGCTTAAAAGGGTACGGTCAGGTCAAGCCGGAGTTATGCAAGAGCCATCAAAGCCTTTGTGGCCGCTCTGCTCGGGCGCTTTAATACCCGTGCAGCATCTGCAACCCCAGCCCTGCTGTGCTGTGCCAGCAGCTGGAGAAAATGAAAAAAATCGGAGGCCAGGAGAAGCCTTGAGCCCAGGGAAGCTCCGCTGAGAAATGCTGAGGGTGGCTCTGCAGCCGGGTCCTGCGCCCGCACGTCCCCACGCCGGGAGGGGACGGCTCCGGGGGCTGAGGGAGGTGACACCCTGGCTCCCGTCGCTCCCCGTTGAGCAATCGGGCACGGGGCCAGCATTAGTCACCCTCACGGAGGCACGGCCCTGGGGGGGCCCAGCTCTGGGTTAAACTGGGCCTTCCTGCCCCGGCCCCCCTCCAGGTGCTGCGCCCTTCCCGGCACTGGGGATGGGGAAGGGGTGGGGGGCTTCGGCTGCAGATGCTGAGTGGGGTTTTGGTGTGTCCCCGCTGCTCCCAGCCCCGTCCCTGGCCTTGCAGCACACGAGACACAAATTATTGGGTCCTGGGATGAATTGGCAAGCGTGGGCACGGGCCCTGCCACGGCTCAGCCTCGTGGGGCTGGGCAGTGCACGGACAGGCTCACGGACACCTCCAGGCACCGCAGCCATCCCAAATGCCTGCCCATGACCAGAGCAACCCCACTGCCACCAGCCTGGGGGTCCCTCAAACCACCCCTTAGGGCAGCACCCACCACAGGCACCCCAAAAGCCGCCATCCCAACCCCCTGGGAGGGGGCTCAGCCACTGCCACCCACCCAAAACCAGCGTGGGGACAGGGGACAAGCCTGACTGTGGGTCCTGCCACCCTCCAGATTTTGCAGGCAGCGTGGCTGGGGCAGCAGAGACCCGTTTCGGCAGCCTTAAAGCCATGGCTACTAGCCATGGCATTGGGGAGGCAGCCCCAGGGCATGGTGCTGGGGCAGGTCCCTGCTCCCAGAGCCTGTCCCCAGCCCTTCCCAGGGCGGCTCTGGGCTGGGGACACTCCCTGGCCCCAGGCACCCCAAGTCCCTTAGCTCTGCTGGTGCCACAGACGCTAAAATCCCGGTGTATGGCTCTGCTGTGCCCTGTTCCTGCATGGTGCCGGGGATGCCAGAGCATCCTCCAGCTGGGTGAGGGGGGGATAAGGACAGGGACAGGCGGTGCACAGCTGCTGACAGCGGTGTTGTGAGGCCCGGGGGCTCCCTCCCAGCCCCAAAAAGCCACCAGACCGGCTGGGAGGCCGGAGAGCATCGCCTCCTCCATGGCCCCGCCACGCTGCAATTTGGGGCGCTGCCAAAATTCATGGAGGCTGCATCGTCCTCCAGCCTCCCCAGCCCCCAGAAGCAGCAGGGACCGATGGCTGTCCCTACATCCCACTGGGCTGGGCCCACTGTCCCCTCCTTGTGTCCCCAACCCTTGGGGTCAGGGGCCAGCGAGGGCCTGCGGCTTGTTTTTCACGTCTGCCGGCCCTACTTTGGCTAATTACAAGTCTGGGGCCAGTTCCCAGGCTGGGTGTGCTCGAGGCCAGGTGGAGGCCAAGCAGGGGGGCCCCTCACTGTCCCCCCACCATGAGAACCAGCTCCGCTCCCACCACCACCAAGGGACCTTCACAAACGGGACCCCTCAAATCCCATCCTCCATCCTCAGCCCTAGGTCTGTGCCTCAACTCCTGGGGCGGGGGCTCGCAGGGCCCCCCCTGCAGCAGTGCCCCGCAGGGCTCTGATCCGGCTCTGCCCCAGGAGCTGCGGCCGGGCGAGCAGGTTCTGCACCGCGCAGCCTCCCACAGCCAACGCGTTCCCACGGCGGAGCCCGTTCGAACCTCACCGCGGCACCAACCTCACCCTGCACCCCCTGGGTGGCTTCCCTGGAGTGCCTCAGTTTCCCCCAAACCCTCAAAACCCCGTTTTTTGGCCCGGTGAGGGGGTGTCCCTGCCGTCCCCACGCAGGGACCCCACGGAGGCGGCGCGCCCTGAGTCACGGCGCGCTTCCTCCCGGCATCCCGGCGTTTCCCATCAAAGGCCGGGTCCTGCCCAGCGCGGCCCAGCCCTGCTGCTCTTGATCTGATGAGCTCATAGCCCAGGGTGCCGTGACTGTATTTTATTGTAATGAGCCTCTCATGTCGAAACTTGCGCTCCTTGAGCTGCGCCCTTCGCCGTGGCCGGGCGCCAGGGCCAGAAGTGCTGAGCTTTCCTCCTTGCGCCGGCGCAGCCAGGCCTCGCTGGGGACATCCCCACCCTGATGGGGAGGACACGGTGTCCCTCCCCGTGTCGCTGTTTCGGGAGAACCCCCCTTAGCCAAGGAGGAGAGCTTGGTGGGGGGGCATGGAGACCGTCCCCTGCCTGCACAAGGGTCCCCTGGTCATGGGTTTTGGGGCACCGTGTGTTGTATGATGGGGATGGGGACACCGTGGGGATGGGGACACCTTGGGGATGAGGATGCCACAGGGATAGGGATAACACAGGGATGGGGACACAACAGGGTGGGGACACCCCGCTGCAGGGCTGGGGACCTGGGACATCACCTCAGCTCTCTTACCAGGGCTACCCAAACCTTCTCCCCTTGGAAACCCCACTAGAAGAGCCCTTTCCCTGGCACCCCCCAAGGCTCAGGGCTCACTGAGCACCCCGACACCTCACTGCAGGGCTGGGGGGGGATGCAAGCAGCCAATGGGTGCTTCTGGGGGGGGGGGGGCTGAAGACCCCTGGCCGCTCCCTGGCACGGGGGGCAGGAGACAATGCCGGTGCCCGGCGGCTGCAGAAGCTGCCTGGGCATGTGCGTGGGGGGAGAGACGAGGCAACCACAGAGGCAGGCGTGCACGAGACGGTTTATTGGAGACGCACAGAGGCTTTGGCGATTCACGACACCCCCCTGTCCCCCCCCCCTTTCTCCTTTCCCCATCCCGTCCCATCACCTCCTCCCGCCGCCTCGGGGGACCGGCAGGGTGGCTCCAGCACCCCCACCCCGGGGTGGTGGGTGTGGAGCTGCCACAAACCAGGCTGTTCCCCCCCCTTCCGTCTAAAATGTTAAATTTTGGGGGGTAGAGGGGGGCTGGCAGTGCTCTAGGAAGGGAGATGGAGGCATCCTCCTTCTTCTCCCCCCCCAGGAAAAGAGCATGAGGGAGAGGGAAGGGGGGGACCTGCCAAAACCACCCCGGCAAACACCGCACACGGCCCCTGCTCCGACACCCAACCTGGGGGGGGGGAGGAGGAGGATGGGGAGGGGGCCGAGACGCCTTCCCAAAAGAAAAAAAAAAAAAAAAAGAAAAAAAAAAGGGAAGAGACACCGAAAGGTGGGGAGGAAGGAGGTGTCGGGGGGGGGGGGGAGAGGGGGAAGAGGGGAGCCGCCGGTCCCTGGCCCCGCGGGGGCTGTTCAGTTCTTGGGCTCTTCGCCAGCCTCGCCGCCGTCTTCGCCCGCGCACTCGGCTGTCCATAACGTGAGGTTGTCCCTGAGCAGCTGCATGATGAGGGTGCTGTCCTTGTAGGAGTCTTCGCTGAGCGTGTGCAGGTCCCCCATGGCCTCGTCGAAGGTGGTCTTGGCCAGCGAGATGGCCTGCTCGGGGGCGTTGGCGATCTCGTAGTGGAAGACGGAGAAGTTGAGGGCCAGCCCCAGGCGGATGGGGTTCGTGGGCTGCATCTCCTTTTTACTGATGTCCATGGCCTCTTGGTACGCCTTCTGGGCTTTGTCTATCGTCTCCTGGCGGTCGTTGCCCGTGGCCACCTCGGCCAGGTATCGGAAGTAGTCGCCCTTCATCTTCAGGTAGAAGACCCTGCTCTCGGGGTCGCTGACTTTCTTGATGAGATACTTGTCCAGCAAGCCCAGGACGACGTTGCAGACGCTCTTCAGCTCCTCTTCCACCTTCTCCCGGTACTCGTTCACCAGCTGTGCCTTGTCGTCCCCCTCTTCGGTTTTGTGCTCGATGCTGGAGATGACCCTCCAGGCCGAGCGCTGGCAGCCCACCACGTTCTTGTAGGCGACGGAGAGGAGGTTGCGCTCCTCGTTGGACAGCTCGTCCCCGTGCTCCACCACCGCCTTCATGAAGTCCGCCATGTCCTCGTAGCGCTCAGCCTGCTCGGCCAGCTTGGCCTTCTGCACTTGGTGGTTTCTTGCCATGGCTGGGGACGCGGACGGGCGCGCACGACAGACGCTGGGGGCGAGGAGCGGGCCGGGAGCCGTCGGAGCCTCTGCCGAGCCTCGCCGCCCGGATTCGCTTTTGGCTGGGCGTCGGAGCCCCGAGCGAGAGCGGGAGGAGCCAGCGAGGCCGAAGGAGCGGCCTCCTCCTCCTCTGCTTCCTCCCCGCCGAGCCCGGCCTTAAAAGGAAAATTGCCGTGATTCATCGCGCCCCGAGGCGGCGAGGCGCTGGGGAAGGGGCGAGCGGGCGGCCCCCGCCCTGCCCTCGCCCCGGGCTCTGGGTCCCTGGGGTGCCAGGAGGATGAGGCTGATCCCAGGGACGTCCCGGGGTCCCTGGGGAATCCCAACCCCACCCCTGGATCAATGGGGGACCCATCCCTGGCTGCTGGAAGTGCTCGGAACGGGGAGTGGTGGGGTCGGTGTTTTGGGGGCGAAGCAGAAGCGCCCAGCGCGCTCTTCCCACCCCCCCAGAGAAACAGGGCACGGGGTGGGCCCGGCTGTAAAGATGGTCTCCTCCCCAAAAATCCTATCGCTGTCGTTTTTATGCGGTGATTAACTCGCTGGTAATTGCGAGGGCTTGAAGGGCAGGTATTTATTCCCACAGGTGGGGAAACCGAGGCAGGAGGAGCAGCCCTTGCCTTGCCCAAGCACCGCTGCAGGGATCGGGATCAGGATCGGGGCTGGGGCGTTCCCGGCTCCTCCACACTGCCCAGATCGGGGGAATCGCCCTGGCCCTTGGAAACACCAGGTCCTGGCTCCAAAACAATCCAAAACGCCACCAAACAACCCCCAAAATATCAAAATGCTGAGCTGACAGCTCCCAAGCCCCACAGACCCCTTTGAGGCTTCTTTGCCTCTCGCTGCCGACCCGGTGCCGCGTCTCCCCCGCCGCAGCCCAGCCGGAGCAGCTCACCAGTGACCGGTCTGAGCTCTTCACGCTGCGTTTGAAGAGTTTGGGATTGGTTTTGGGGCTCTTTTTTTTTTTTTTTTTTTTCTTTTCTTTTCTTTCCTTTTTTTTTTTTTTTTTTTTTTTTTGAAAAGCTCGCTGTAGGTGCTTGCTCTGCCCAGATTAGGATCTGCGCTCGGCGTTGTTGCGCTGCAGTTTCGCTCTCAGCCTGATTAAGCCTGTTCCCACACGCCGGCTGCTGCTGGCAGACGCCCGGCGCTGCTGCAGCCCGAGTGGGGCCCCGCGCTCGGCCGGGCCGGAGAATATGGGAAGGGCCAGCCAGGTGTATAGGGCCACAGCCCCATGGCTTATCAGCACCACGCTGTGCTTTCCTCAGCCCTGATGGGGATGATGAGGATGGGAGGAAGGCCAGAGCTGCTTTTCTTGACCGTGTGCATCCCAGAATAGCTCCAACCCTAATACAGCCAGGCCCACCCTGCAATGGTGTGGGGGCTCGGGGTGGCTCAGGGCATGGGTGATGGGAGATGTGGGGTTTGGGGTGCCCGTGCCACGTGCAGTGCCCGACTGGTGAGCAGAGCAGGCCTCGCTAAGCCATAGAAAGGATTTTTGGACCAAATGGCCACACGGAGGCTGTGGTTTCAAGGAAAGCCTTCCTGGGCCTGCCTCATGTCCGAGTGAGGGGGTAAATGGGGTGCCCCCTCAGCCACGCTGCCCAGTGAGACCCCAGAAACCCCTAAAACCCCCTCAAACCACCTCAAAAGCCCCCACAGGACGGGTGGGAGGCCCAACCCTGCTGGGAGGCCCAGCCCTCTGACCGCCACCTCATCCCATCACAAAAATGGGGCCCTTTGTGGGGGGCAACGGGGAGGAGACCCCGGGCAGGACCCCCCCAGGGCCATAGGAAGCAGCAGCGCGAGCTCTGTGATGGGGGGGTCGCCGGCCCGGCTTTGGCTCAGCTGCCTCCTGTCGGCGGCCCCTGCCAGAAGTGCTGAGCCGCTGCCAAATTTAGGTTGCAATTAGCCACGAAGAGGCCGCAAAAAATATTCTGCTCTACCGGTTTTGTGCAGAGAAGCGGGGTGGGTGAAGGGAAGAGCCCCAGCTCGCTGCGCCCCACTCAGGCAAAGGCTGGGGCTGAGCCCGGCCATGGCATCACCCCGCACAGCACCCATGGGTGCTCCGGATGGGGCAGAGCAGCACCCGAATGCACACTGACGGGGAGAGAGGGACGAAGAATTAAAGCCCAGCCCCAGGGCACGCTGCCCAGGCCGGTACGTGCCGCCTGCCCCGTGAGCTGGCGATGCCGATGCCGCCGGCGGGATGGGGCTGGGCGCTGTGGCGGCTCGGCCGCGGCAGGAGGAGGCCGCTGGCAGCCGATCCCGGGGTGCTGGGAGGGTGCTCAGCGCCCCGCTGCTCCCCGGGCTGCTCCCAGCATTTCAGAGGCTGGGGGTGGGTGCGTACGGATGGATTTTGGTGGGGGTCGATGTGAGGAAGAGAGCGGGGAGAAGGCTGCTTAATGCTGGGGGAGGCCGAGCCTCGCCTTGAGGCCATTGTGGGTACAAAAAGGGAGCTTGGGGAGCACTCGGCCCCATGGCAGGAACCCTCCTCAGCTCCCCCACACCGCACGAGGCACCGGGAGCAGCTCCACAGCACGAGCAGGCACTGACATACAGGAAATAGGAGAAATTTTATTTCGTTACAAAAGTCAAAGGCATAAATAGGTGGCAAATCCTACCGGGCTCTAAGCTGGGCCTCACAAAGCGTCTCCCGCCCCGTGGGGCTCCACGGGGGGACCCTTCCCCTAAATCAGAGCCCCGCTAACACCAACAGTAACACGGGGAACTTGTGGGGCAGGGGTTGGGAGGGCGAACGCTGACCACACACCGAATCCCTTCCTATGGGGGGGTCAGAGAGGGGCTGGGGAAAAACCCAGGGGGATCGGATGGGTAACACCAGCGGCTCGGCCCCAACACCAAGCCTGCTCCCCCAAAAACCGGCATCTCCAAGCGGGGAGCCCCCAGCTTGGGGGGGTAAGGCTGGTTACGGGGAGCCACCGGTGGCCCTGGCTCAGTTGCGTGGGGTTTTCCCCACCCCGGGAGGCAGCAGGAACTCCAGTTATTGCACTCGGGAGGGATGCTGTATGGCTTTGAGCTCGGAAGCCGTGGGAGGGCGGCCCGGGAAGGCTTTTCCTTGCGCACGGCAGCTTTCCCCCTTCTCTGGCGGCGGGAGGGAGGAAAGGCGCAGCCCTGGAGAGCGGAGGCACAGGCGGTGCTGATGGCTGTCGTCGTCTCGGGAACTGCCCGCGGGGTCTGGGCATCCCTTGGGGTGCTCCGAGAGAGGCAGAGAGAGGGCTGCCGGCTGCCCTCGGCAGGCTGGATGATGGCCCCAGAGCAGGGAAAGGGAAAAGGAGGAAGAGAAAGAGACGGTTAGTAGCAGAAATACAGCAGGGGGAAGCTGCAGCGCTTTGCCAGGGGTTGCCCAGAGGATGCTGAGGCCAAAAATTGAACCTGCTCCAGGGATGAGACAGCAGCAGGGAGAAAGCCCCGTGCCTGCTGCCACGACTCAAGCTGTGGGGACAGAGGGAGAGGACAGTGCTGCAGCCCTTGCACGGGGCAGTGGAAGCCGTGCTAATTCACCACGTGCTCTGAAGGGAACTTACCTCGGCTCCCGGCACGCTGAAGGACAAATGGAAGCACAGGGAGATGGAGGGGAGGGATGGATTGAACCCCAAAGCACACCAGAGCTGGGGTGAGGAATCTGATGCAGCTCCCAGCCCTCTGCTCACCACAACCACCAGATTTCCCCAGCAGCTGGGGGGTTCCCAGCAGCTCCACCCAGCACAAACCACCACCACGCTCCGTCCTGCGAACCCCGAGCTCCATGGCACCTCTGCCCCAAGCTGAGCTGGCTTTGGGGCACATCATCCTCCGAGCACCACCACGCAGACCGCCTGACTCCATGTGGCAGGGGGAAACCATCCCGCAACCCCTCGGCAAGGCTGCAGGAACCCCTCCATGGAAGCCCCGCACCGGTGGGATGTGGTCGGGGTTTGGGGCACGTGGATGGCAACGCGGCTGGAGGCGATGGGCTCATGGAGGGAGCTGGCCATGCAGTGGGGATGAGATGGGTCACTCGGGTGGATGGCTGGGCAAGGAGAAGAAAGCGCTTTCTTACCAGCTAGCCCTCAGAAAGCAGGGCTAACGTCCCGGGAGGGGGGCACATCCCGTCAGGCTGTGCAGGAAATGGCAAAGTCCTGGCAGGCGTCCTCCTGGGGAAGACACCAGAGGTTACGCACCGCAGGGTACACAGCAAGGGGGCTGGCTTGGACAGGTCGGAAAAGGACAGGTTGGAAAAGGATGGGTCGGAAAAGGACAGAGCTCTCCCGGAGAGCTGGGACAGGAAAATCCCTCGGCTCCGGCTGCTGCTAAGTGTCCCTTGCGGCCCCATCCCGCGGGAGATTTTCGGAGCTTCCAGGCAAGCCCTGTGACTAACGCAGCGTCCAACCTGAAGGCTGAGACAGGCCTGCCCTTTGTCTTTCAGGAATAAAATAATAATCCAAGCAATTAACTCTTTAAAAATATAATTTTATTATGTCGAGTAACAAAGGAAACCGGTTTAAATAAGAACAGGAAGGAGTTTGGCCCCCGATAACACCCCCCAGCACCACTCCGGGCACCAGACCCTCTCCGCACAGCACCACTCGCCCTGTCCCGTCCCTGCTGCTGGAAGGTGGCACCGAGGCTCCCTGCAGGCAGGGACGAGCCCCCTTGGGGCCATCGGGGCAGCAGGAGCAGGGAGGTAACGCTGACTTTTAGGCTGAAGCACCCAGCCCGGGAGGTGGCACCCAGCCACGGGGAGCCTCCCGCGGCGCTCGGCGAGGGCCACCTGCCGGGATGGGGCAGAAATTCAGCAGCTTCCAGGCTCTGGGCAGGGCCAGCTGGGCTCACAGTGAGCCAGAGGCTGGTGGTGGAAGCTGGGGGACACGGGGAGGCTGCGAGGTGGGGGTCAGCAGCCGTGCCAGAGCTGCCCTGCCCTGCGCTCCTGCTGCTGCTCTGGCTCCTCGCAGGGCAGAGGCAGAGCTGGTGGCCACAAGGCAAGCAGGGAGAGCCCCCACAGCGAGCCAGGAAGGCAAGGCAAGGGGAAGAGGCTGCTCTGCCATCCACAGATACCCCTCGGGGCTGGCTCGGTCACTCACGGTGTGGACAGCGCAACCCTGGCTAATTCAGCGGGGACAGGCTGCCCCCCTAAATGTGCTGCTGCCCCTGCCCGAGGCTGAAATTTGAGTGTTTAACTCACAGAAAACCTAACCAGGCAGCTTGACACAAAACACTGCAAGCCTCTGCCCTGGTGCTAACATGCACAACGCTACCTACATCGAATATAAAACGTTCTACATAGAAAAAAATCTACAAATTGTGCAAAATTATCCAGCA